TGCTTCTGCTGCTGCCGATGTTGTCTCTGCTGCTGCTGGATGTTGAATTGTTGCTAACGCGCGTGTTCGTTCTGCTTCAGGGATGGTATGCGAGTACCAGAAGCCTTCCGGGCTGAAGTCTGGATCAAGATCTGGAGGGTGCGTCCAGTCGGCGAAGTTCACGATGGCGTCGCTGTCTGCGGTGCCCAGGTCTGGGACGAAGTAAAGGACAAAGACGTTATTCTTCAGAACTGCCTTTTCGATGTAGAGGCCGCCCTTCCCGTGGTACAGTTTGAACTCCTGGGTGGTGCTGTCGGCTTCCAGGTGTATGCCTTTCGCCATCAGCTGACTGACGCTCAGTAAGTTGTAGCCGAGTCCCTCTGCTATTAGGACTTTCGACATTTGTAGTACGACGTTCGTCTCCCGTGACTGAAGCTGTACTATGCCTTGTCGTCTTGTTCGCAGGTTCTGATTATTGGCGACGGTGATGACGACTTCTCGTTGAAGTCGGTGCTCGCGTTGAACGAAACGTCCTGAGGAGCACATGTGTTGTCCGCAACAACTGTCCAAGAACCAAGTGTCTCTTCCGGATGGCTCGCTTTGAGCGATGGCGGCGTATGTCGGGTTCGGCTGAAGTGACTCGCGGCGAGGTGTGGTTTCGTCAAGTCGTTCTTCTGGTGAGTAGTGCGGCGGTGATTCGGTGATGCAGGAATCTGTTGTCTTTGCCATGCAGTTGACGATGTTTCTTGCTCCTTGTGCAGGTTGTCCTATTGGAGTCGTTGAGGTTTGAATCTTTGTCGTGGGAGTTGCTTGCGTTGAAGTGACTTGGGAGCTTGAAGGCCGAAGTTGTCGCTGTGGTGTTGTCGATTGCTGGCGATACGGGCAGTGCGTACGAGGATGCCCTGAAGTCTTGCAGATATGGCAAAACGGAGGTACTGGCTTCAATTGTTGTTGCTGCCGATTGTTGTTGTTGTAGCGTCGCTGGGTGTGAAACGCGAACTCTGGTACTGACGTTTTCTTCTTATGTCGTTCTTCTTGCAGGTCCATGTCCTCCTGTTCAGCATGGATTTCGGCGCAGAGTGCTGCTTCGGAGATTCTCCCGTGTGCCCGTAATATGGCGCGAGTGGAGCGCCAGTGAGGGCCAAGACCACCGATGACAACCGTGACAAAGGCGTATTCTGAAATCGATCCTCCACATCGAAGAAGCTTGTCGCGCAGTTTGCGGCAGTGACTGATATATGCCATGCCCTTCTCGCCTGGTTTCATTTCGATTGTTGTCAGCTGCGCCATTAACCGGCTTTGGTTTACGCTGTCTGTTGCTTGATACAGGTTCTTCAAGTGGTTGTACGCGAGCTCCGCGGAGTTACCGTAACCTCGGTAAGTCCTTATGTTCTGCTGTTGAGTCGGGGTGATGTTCCTCAGTAGTATTGTGTACGCCGTCATCGATTGATAGGTGTACTGCTGCTTCTCATACTGTGTGCCGTTTGTTGGATATGGCAGGGACCCGTCGAAGAAGCCAAGGATCTGCGCTCCTTCCATCATTAGCTCGAATTCGAACGACCAGGTAAAGAAATCCTTCCCGTCGAAAGGTTTTGTCGTTTGTAGTTTCAGAACATGCGCGAATTGCGACTGAACTTGTAGTGCGTCCAGTGCTCTTTCTTGTCCCGGTGCAGGTTGTGGTTGCGGCATGAAGCTGACGGAGCCGCGCTGGGGCTCGTACGGAGCGAAGGTAGGTTGTTGATGTTGATTCCCGCGTGCGTAGGATGAGCCATCGAGACTCATGGGCGTCACGTTGTTGTTGTTGTTGCTGTTGTTTGATTGCGCAGGTACTCCTTGCTGATGCTGCTCGTAGAAGGACATGAAGGAGAAGAATTTCTCCATCATACTTGGATCGAAGCCCGCGCCTTGGTTTGCGGGTGTTTCCGTAGACCTAGCTGCTGGTCTAGTTGTTGTCCCTTCCTCTGTCAGTAGGCCAGAGGCAGGAGGTGGAGTAGGGGTAGTACCGGGAGAGCCGTTGGAGGAGCTCCTCTCCTTTCTAGTAGACATGTCTTCTTGATGTATTAAGTGTTGAAGAGAAAAATTTAACTCTAACCAGCTCTCATACCATGTTGGGCTGAACGCCCTAGGATCTTTAGTAGAGTTAAAGCCTGAGTAAATGATGTAGTAGCGGAAGCGTTTGAATAAGGTCCTTGAACCGCCTTGCGCTAGTATGTGAGGGCAAAGTAAGTTAATCAAAGCAAAGAGATACAGGAATATATATATGAGTACAGAGAATATGAAGAGACATAATTGTAACTGTTTTACTGTTGCGGTTCGATACAGTGCGACTCGGGCAACTGCTCAATGTCGAGTCAGTTGTGTGTCCTTGCTGTCCCGCTGCGTCAGGTCAAAGGTCGCTGACCTTTTGACTTTCTCGTAACCTCCAGCGGTTACGTTAATCTCCGAGGGTTGACTCGCGGTGCTTCGATTTGAGCTGCTTCGCTTGTGTCTTAAGTTTCGACACGACAGAGGCGCTTAAGACTATTTGTTCCCAACAGACGACACGTGGGTGCACTCCGCCTCGCTGGACGCCTCATCACTTGTTCGTGATTACTTGGCGCGCAGGCGCGTTTCGGATATTGACCACCTTTCTTAAGGGGGGGGGTAGCGTAAGGAATTGTCTCGAATTCCTTATCGGAGTTGACTGCTTCGCGTACAGCCTTGATTTTCAGACTTAGCACGTTCGGCTGATTTCAACGCTGCCAAGGCTCCTCGCGTCGCCTTCGGCATTTCCCATCGCCAAACCTGCACCCAACCTCGCTCGTCCGAGGTTCCCTCCTAGTTAGGCTTGCTCCGACATTAGTCTGTGCCTTCATTGTATTCTCAGTTCGTTCAATCACAGTTTCGTTATTCGTTTACCTGCTCACTCTCTTTTACAGCTCATAACAGTCGCTCATTTCGCATGCGGGTTACTTTCGCTAACTCGGCCATTTGGCAAGTGGCCGAATCTATTGGCTTGGCGATGTTACACGCCCTCACTGACGTTGAATGGGCTAGGCACGGAAGCAGCACTCGGTGCTGCTTGGCTGAACCGAAATGTGGTTCGATACAAACTGATTGAGGAGGGTTAAGAGCGGCACGGCTGATTGACTGACATCCAGCCTTGATTGACTGGTTCGCTGCCAAGCCTAGGAAAAATCTTTTCGAGAGGTGCGGAAGTCGGACCTGAGCCCGAAACGACGTGTGCTACGGCCTTTTGCGGCGCACACCGCACGGTCCCAAACACCAAGGGGGGAGGTGGTGGGAAAGACAAAAGCCGAAACGCTCTCCATCGCACAGAACCACATCTCACTGTAAATAGATGAACTCTTATGACGCTTCCTGAGGGACGTGCGCGCGCGCGAGGTGATGGGCTGCCTGCGCTGGCTAGCCCTCGAAAGGTCAGGCAAATTCATATTTATTAGGGCGTGTAACGTTTTACAATTCTGCCCGTATGGACGGCCCATCGTTCGGACTTTTGTAGGGTTACTGATGTCGTCAATTTTCGCTTTGTATTTTATTCGTTGATAGATTTTGTTAAAGCTGGTAACCTAAAACAAATCTGGATGGTGGGCCGTCCAAACGGTTCGAAAGAGAACAAATTACACGCCCTAATTTGCCCATCTGATCCCAACCTGACGTGACGGTTTGGTGAGTGGCGTGGCGAATCGTGCGTCATACGGGGACTCACGACAACTATCACCCAGGTCTCAGCAGAAAGTCAGGTCAGGTGTGTGTTGGGTTGAGAGTCTCGACTTGGGGTAGGTGCCTGTGGGAGTTTGCACGGCTTCGCAGCGAGAGTGGCATCGGTTCTGCCGTCGGTGCTTCACATACTAGGCCCATCGTCCGCTCACGCGTTCGCGTGAAACATCTTGTTTCTGTTCCTGTTCTGCGGAGATTTTCCAGCGACTCCAAAGTCACTTGCAATAGAAACACCGTCCGCTCTCGCTTTCACGTCAATCCCTTTCGATTCGTCTCCTATTGCGCGGAGATCTCGAAATGGGTTGGAACGCGCCGCGTCGTTCCGTGGCGTCAATGTCAGCGTTATTAGTCGCCGCGCTTCTCGTTAGCATACCTCCGAGGGTCTCTTTCGCGGCCACGGACCCTGCTCAAGGTAGGGAGATCCCCCTCTCGTTGACATGATCCTGGCTCGTTTTTTTATGACGGAGTGGTGACTGGAGGTTAACAAAAGAATTTTGCCATTGTAGAGGAGAGTGTCCTCTAAGAGAGCATAGTGCCTTGCAGGTCGTTTTTGAGAATTTAATTGACGACCTCTGAAATAACCCCCGTTCTGCTCCAGTGGTTTAGGGCACAGATGTTATGACTGGGAATTCAGAAAGTAGCGCGCGACTTCGCGCCAAGGGCTTAACCGTGAAGCTCGCGCTTTTTCTTCTGAAACCCCTGTTTAGCTCCCCATTCATCGGTTTTCTTGCCACTTCTCCGCAGCTGCTGTTTTTCGGAAATCCCTTTACTCCGGGCGGCAATCCCTATGCTCTTCTCTTCTCGGCAATCCCTATGCTCTTCTCGGCAATCCCTATGCTCTTCTCGGCAATCCCTATGCTCCCTCCGGTAATCCCTATGCATCCACTGCCATCACTCTCACCCCTGTAGTGGCCATTCTACAGCAGATTGCGGGCATGGGGAATGAAAACAACGCGCTCTTCAACTCGTGGACAGGCAAAACCCGTGACACCCAACTTTACAAATCATCCTGAGGTTCCATTTCTTCATTCCACTGCCATCCCTTCATCCACACGCAGTGGCCATTCTACAGCAGATTGCGGGCATGGGGAATGCCAACGAAGGGCCGTTCAACACGCGGACGGGTGAAACCCGTGCCACTCACCCCTATCTATCTATAACACCTCGCTACCCACCGGGCCAAAACGAGGGTGTTATTTGGCGCAGCGGAGTGCCCTTAACACAGCCCACAGGCGTTACACTATCACCCTGAGGTTCCATTCCTTCCCCTCATCCACTGCTATCCCTTCATCCACACGCAGTGGCCATTCTACAGCAGATTGCCAGCATGGGGAATCCCAATCAAGCGCCCTTCAACACGTGGACGGGTGGCGACCCTTGTGGGGCGCCATGGGATGGTGTCAGGTGTTCTGCTGGCGGTGGCAGTTACGACGTGGTTACCGAACTGTGAGTGTCACTGTGAGGGTAGGCTCTTAGTGCAGCTGTGCGTGCAGCTGCTAGTGATGTATGGGTCGAATCATGGGCTGGGCTGGCGACAGGTGAGAGCGGTGGCGGTTACGATGTGGTTACCAGACTGTGAGTGTCATTGTGAGGTTAGGTCCTGCGTGCAGTGATTGCAGCTGCTAGGACTTGGAGTTGACTGTTGACGCAAAGGTCATGGGCGGGCGGCATGGGGTGGTGGCAGGTACCCTGTTGGCATGCTCTCTCATCTCCTCTCTCCCTCTTGCTCCTCCTCTTGTCTTCCTCCTTTCAACCCCACTCTCCCATCTCTCTTTCTCGCTTCTCTCAACCCCACTCTCCCATCTCTCTTTCTCCCACCTCCCCTTCCCCCTTCTACCAGCTTTCTCGAGGATGCAAAGCTGACTGGCACCTTGCCGCCTTCCCTCTTCGACCTCACATCCCTACACACAATGTGAGCTCTCTTCCCTTCCCCCTCCCCTTTCCTTCCATCCCTTCTGCTCCAATCCCCGTTCTCCGCCTCCTTTCCAACACCTCCCTCCCTCTCCACTTGCCCTCCCCTCCACTTCTCCCTCTCCACTTACCCCCCCCCTCTGTCAAAATGAGGAATGATGATGCCATTGATGTTGGTTGGGGTACATATAACAAACCCTAACTTCTGTACCCCCTAAGACAAACCTCACTACAGGCTACAACATTTGACACACCCCCATAGCCTAAGTGAGGGGTGTCTAGCAAAATAAAGAAGAGTACGGTCACAAGACCAGTCCAAAAGAAAACAAAGCTCAGGGTGGATCACAACGTCACCACACTCTCTGAGCACAAGCAACAGTGGCCACAAGGCCAGTCCAAGAGATCACAAGTATATATAGCAAGAGTACAGACGAAGCAGGCAATAAACTCAAGCCTACACATGACTAGAACCTGTGTCAACAAGGCCTAACTGCACACAACACGTCTGGTGGTCACGAGGCGGAAGCGCCTTGGTGAAGATGTCTGCAGTGTTGGCCTCGGACTCCACAAACTCGAAGCGAGCCTGTCCACGTCTCTGCAACTCTCGCAGAAGAAAGTACCTGACGTGAATGTGCTTCACTCTGCTCTCCAGTCGCGGCTCACGACAGAGGAGGATCGACGCCTTGTTGTCAGTGAACAAGGTCGGTGCAGAGCTCGGCCGCTCACCAAGGTCGGCGAGCAAGAAGGTCAACCAACGCAACTCCTGTGCCGCCATGGCACCAGCGTAAATCTCAGCCTCAGCTGTAGATGTCGAGACAGAAGAGGAGCGCGTGGAACGCCAGGAAACAGCTCCAGAACCCAGACTGAAACAGTACCCCTGAGTAGACCTGTGAGTCTCAGCGTCGTCAGCGTAAGAGGAGTCACAGTGACCAGTGAGTACGACAGACTGCTGCCCTCCAAGAACTAGCCCCACGCCTGATGTAGTCGCTAGGTACTTCGCCACCCTCACAGCTGCCGTCCAGTGAACAGGACGGTGTCTCCCTGGCGCAACAAAGCGCGCAAGGATGCTGAGAGGGAAGGCGAGGTCCGGGCGAGTACAAGTCATCAGGTACATGAGGCAACCCACAAGCTCTGCGTAGGGACCACTAGGCTCAAACGGCTCGTCAGGAAAGGGACCAGTGAGTCTGTGGTCAACAGTGAGAGGTGTGCGCTGTACGGTGGAGTGCTGAAGCCCGAACCGCTGAAGGACCTGCTGCACCATGTGTGACTGTGAGAGTGTACCGTAATGGTGCGAGCGGCTCTGTCCCTGGTGATCTGCAGGCCAAGGTAGTGGCGCAGCTCACCAAGATCAGTGCACGTGTGTCTCTTCTGCAGTTCGGACTTCACGTCTGCCAAAGCAACCCTGTCCGGAGTGGCGAAAACGAGGTCGTCGACGTAAACCAGAACAAAGAACGGTGTGGAGCCACGACGAACGAACAGCGACGGGTCGGCAGAAGACGGCTGGAACCCAAGGTCAGAGAGGGTAGAACGCAGAGTGTCGTGCCACTCACGAGGGGCCTGGCGAAGACCGTAAACAGGTCGCCTCAGCCTCCACTGGGTCCCAGGAGGGAAGGTGCCAGTGAAGGCCGAGGGACGACGCAACCAGACCTCCTCGTGTAGGCTGCCCTGAAGGAAAGCAGTGGAGAAGTCGAGAGAGTGTAACTCGTAGTCTCTCTGTGCTGCTACGTGTAGTAACACCCGAAGAGTGGTCATCTTCGGGGTAGGTGCGAAGGTCTGAAAGAAGTCAACTCCCTCGCGCTGACTGAAACCTCTAGCCACGTAGCGCGCCTTGAACACCGGGGGAGATCCCGGTGGCCGCTTCACCCTGTAGATCCACATGCCCTCGACTACGTTCGCCCCAGGGGGGGGAACCTCATCGACGTAGGTGCCTGTGGATCTGTAGGAGGCCATCTCTGCGTCCATGGCAGCTCTCCACTGAGAGGCCCAAGGCCCTGACACTGCCTCAGCGTAAGTGCGAGGAGTCGGAATGTCAAGGGCGTCGGGGTCACCCTCAGGGGCGAGGAGCATGGCACAGAGATGAGGGGAAGCGGCCGCCAGGAACTCTAGCTCAAACTGCCTGTCCTCTAGGGCGTCACAGCCAAGGGCAGACACACCCCCGACGGCCAGAGGACTGGTAGGAGGAGCAGCCACAAGCGTGGTGGCATAGTCAAGGCGGCGGGTAGAGGCAAAGTCAGTAACTGCGGCAGTAAGAGCGGACACTGAGGACACAGAGGCACGAGGGTGAGTAACAAGAGAGGCGAGAACACGAGAGAGAACAGGACGGTACGTGCGGTAGTAGTCAGTGACAGGAGTAGGGAGCGACACAGTGAGGGCCGACTCAGGAGGAGATGGAAGCACAGACTGAGACGGACGAGGTGGACTAGAAAGAAGGAAGGCAGTACGAAGGTCAGTGAAGGGAACAGGAGACGAGGGACGAGCACGAGGGGAGCGACGAGTAGCCCAAGAACGAGACGGAGGAGGAGAGGACAAAGGCGGAGAACTGGGGAAAACAGCGGGGGAGGAGTCAGGAGGAGGAAACGTGGGACCGTAGACAGGAGGAGAGGCGGAGGAGGGAGAAGGGGAGGGGAGACCAAGGGTCCGAAGACCCGAGACAGGAGGAGGAAGTGGCTGCTGCTGCTGCTGCTGCGACTGCTGCTGCTGCGGAAGCGGCTGCTGCTGGGACTGCTGCTGCTGCTGCTGCTGCTGCTCCTGCGGCTCCAGCTGCTGCTGCTGCTCCTCCAGCCGCTGTAACTCCCTCTCCTCTCTCTCCAACGCCAGCTGCTCGTCACGGGCACGGCGAACACGAGCCTGGTGCCTAGTCGGGTAGGGGTGGGGGGGCGGAGTAGTGTCCGAAGCAGCGGTAGCTCCAGAGTCCACCCCCGAAGAACCAGGCGCACCACCCCCAGAGGCAGCACTAACACCAGCTCCAGACCCAGGCTCACCAGAACCCGAAGGAGGCGCACTCTCACCCCCAGTGTCCGCGCGACCAGCACCAGCTCCCGGACGACAAGAGCCCTCTGCACCCACCGGGTCAGCTCCAACTCCAGAACCAGAAACTCCAGCTCCAACTCCAGCTCCAACCCCTGCACCCCCAGAACCAGAAACTCCAGTGCCAATTCCAGCTCCAACTCCAGCTCCAACTCCAGCTCCAACTCCACCACCCCGAGATCCAGAAACCGGTACAGGAACAGGCGCAGCACCAACCTCTCGAGAGCTAGCACCTGCGGCACGCTGCGAGGAGGACTGTGGGGAGGGAGGCTGTACCGGAGAGGCTACCGAAGGAGGAGGGGTAGCCTGGGACACACCTGACGGGGCTGGACCAGGGGGGGGAGGCTGTACGGGGGGAACAGGAGGGGGAGCGGCAGTCAGGAAGAGGGGGGGAGGAGGAACCTGGAGACCTCGACTGGGGTACCTGACGTAGTACGGAGTGGACTCCTCGAAACGGACGTCACGGGAGTCAAAGAACCGGTGAGAGGGAGGGTGGTAAAAGGTGAAGTCAGAGGAGTCCTCAGGGAAACCAAGGAAGACACAGGGGACGGCACGAGGCGAGAGCTTGTCCGCGGAGGTGTCGCGGACAAGAGCCAAGCACCCCCAGACACGAAACCGCGACGCAACACCAGGGGACCCTGTCCAAAGACTGGTCGGTGAAACCTCTGGTCGAGAGACACGTGGCCAGAGGTTTAGCTGGTGCGCGGCGTACCTGACCGCGTAGGGCCACAGAAAATGGGGGGCACAGGCGTGAGTCAGGGAGGTGCGGGCGATCTCCATGACCAGGCCTATGCGGCGCTCAGCAACCCCATTCTGCTGTGGGGACTCTGGAAGCGTCCAGGACTGACGAATGCCCTGCTCGCGATAGAATCCAGCGAGAATGCCGGAGCGAAACTCACCCCCACGGTCGGAGTGGAGGCAGCTGACACGACGACCACGAGTGTCCTCGGTGGTGAGCAACCACCTGATCAGCGTAGAAGTCACCTCAGACTTCTTCGCCAGAGGGATCACTGTGGTGTAGCGGGAGAAGTCGTCAATGACCACCAGAAAGTAGCGCTCACGCTCAGGGCCTAGACGAGGGGCGGGGCCCCAGACGTCCAAGTGAAGCGTCTCAAAAGGCTCGGTGGCCGGACGAAGGGAGGAGGAGTGAGGGGCGGCGCGCAGCCGACCCTCGACGCAGGGACCACACGGCGGCGCAAGCGAAGGCGGCAGCGACGGCAAGACACGTGGGAGGCCTAGGACAAGACGCTGACTAGACATAGCGCGCAGACGAGGAAGGGACGGGTGCCCCATCCGGTGGTGCCACAGAACGGTGGGGTGGGCAAGCGACCGGCAGGAGCACGACGCAGCGACTGGAGCAGACGTAGGAACCTGACACGACACAGACACCTGGGGGGACGAAGCAACCTGGTGAGACGCGGGGACCCGAACGGGGGGGGGAACCGGGGGCAGTGGTAGTAGGGGCGGCTGCTGGTGCGACCGCTGGTGCAGCTGCTGCTGCTGCTGCTGCTGTGGCTGCGGCTGCTGCTGCTGCTGCGGCTGCTGCTGCGGCGCACGCGGGCCAGTGTGAAGAGTGTAGAGACCTGAGCCCGGCTCAGCAGTAAAGGTAGCAAGAGGCTGGTAAGAGTCTCCGTCAACACACACCGCAGTCTCTCCAGAAGGCTCAAACCACACACCCACGTGCTGACTCACGAGGGGTCGCACGCCCACCAAGTTCCGGGAGAACGAGGGGACGTGAAACCCAGTGACAGACCCGGAGGGAGCAGCAGGACACGGTAAAGTGGTAGTGTGACGTGCAGTGACTGGTCCCGTAGTGGGATCAGCCAAAGCCACAGAAACAGGCGCAGGAAGTGGTGTAAGTGTCGTGCTGTCCCGGAAGAAGCAGTGTGAGGCTCCAGAGTCCAGCGTGAACGACAGCGAAGCGTCCTCTGAGGTAGTCGCTGGTCTAGAGTCTACATAAGAACCTACACTAGCAACAGGCAACTGAGCAAGACTAGCACCTAAGCTAACAACACCAGAGTAAACAGAGTTAGAAACACTAGAGTCAACAACAGCATACATAGCATGAGGAGCACCAATCAGATCAACTAACTGCTCAGCAGGCATGCCCCACAGAGCGGAGCCGTAGCGCTGAACCAGAGGAAGCCAGTCAAGAGCAGGACCGCCAACCCCGTAGGCCAACCGGACCGTGTCAGTGAGCTGAGCAAAGCACTGACCAGGGGGGTGAAAGCGGCCACAAGGGTGGCCCCGACGAGGACCTGTCAGAACCTGATAGGTGCAGGGAGGGTAAGAAGCACCGCGCTGGGGCTGACGCAGCCCCGACCCCGGAGTCAGCTGCTGACGCTGCTGCTGCTGAGGCTGGCGGGAGGAAAGGGGCTGCTGCTGCTGCTGAAGGTGCTGCTGACGCTGAGCCTGGTACCACGCCGCTGCTCCACCTAGCGGGGTCGGCAGTACAGGAGGCGACTGACGAGCTCGGGGGTCGCCGCCACCAGCAGGCGCAGTGGAGTCACCAGCCGCTGCACGAGGGGTCTCTCCAGACGCTGCACTCCCACCACCGCCAGTCGCAACAGCACCCCCACTACCTCCGCTACCTCCACCTCCACCTCCACCAGAACTACCTTTCTTGCCCCCCTTGCCGCGGGACCGCGACGCAGTCGTAACAGCAGCCGCAGTCGCGTCAGTAGCGGCAGTGGCGAGAGAGGCAGTGAAGGTGGGTAACTGCGGGACTGTGCACCCGTGGAAGAGTGGGGGGGACATAGTACCAGAGGCGGCAGCTACCGAGCGAAGGTTGCTCTCGACGTCCTTGAGTGCAGACTCAAGGACCTCGATTAGTCAGCTCACTAGGGTGCTTCAGCAGAAGCGCGTCACGAACGGAGGCTAGGCGGTCAGGGAGGCTAGTGGCGATGAAATAGACAGTAATCGCCATGGGGGGAGGAAGTAGTGCAAGCTGTGCCTCAGTGCAAGCAGCGCGGTAACTAGCGTCGAGCGAGCGGAGGTGAGCGATCAAGTCAGCAGAGCGCTCAAACGAGGCGAGATCAGGAAACAGGAACGGGAGGAAAAGACGGCCAAGAGAGACAGTAGCGGGAGTAGAGTAGCGGGCCTTAATCGCAGTGAGGTACGCAGCAGCGGTGCGAACCTGAGTAAAGTGGACCTCCTCTGACTCAGGGAGGAGGCTGCTGAGTGCGATGCAGGCCGCAGCGTCACGCGACGTCCAAGCCGTCCGGTCAGCGCGCTGACGGGCAGAGCGAGCCGTAGCAGCGTCGTCAGGGGCAGAGCCTAAAGCTGTAGGCTCGGGGGGCTCGGGGAGGTCACCAGTAGCGTGCGACCAGAGGGTCTCGCCCCCCTGGACCTGACTCTCTAACAGACGGCGAGCGCGAAGAAGCCAGACGGAAAAGTCAAGTGGTCTACCGTCAGCGTCGAAACGAAGAACTCGCGGAGTCGCCATAGTGAGAACTAACGCGAACGAACAGGCGAGTAACAACCGGGGAGAAGAGGCAAATTAGGGTTCAGGTGGGAAGGGGACTCAGTCGCAGCGGAAGAGCGGGCTAGGGCGACGGGCCAGGGCGTAGGGTAGGGCGACGGGCTAGGGCGTAGGGTAGGGCGACGGGCCAGGGCGTAGGGTAGGGCGACGGGCCAGGGCGTAGGGTAGGGCGACGGGCCAGGGCGTAGGGTAGGGCGACGGGCCAGGGCGTAGGGTAGGGCGACGGGCCAGGGCGTAGGGTAGGGCGACGGGCCAGGGCGTAGGGTAGGGCGACGGGCCAGGGCGTAGGGACGGGACAGGGCGACGCGACGGGGCAGGGCGGCGCGATGGGGCAGGGTGACGGGACGGGGCAGGGCGACGCGACGGGGCAGGGCAACGCGACGGGGCAGGGTGACGGGACGGGGCAGGGCGACGCGACGGGGCAGGGCGACGGGACGGGGCAGGGCGACGCGACGGGACAGGGCGACGGGACGGGGGGGAAAGGGCGGGCACGGCGTGACGGGGGGAACGGGCGCGACGCGACGGGGGGAAAGAGCGCTAGGCGACGGGGGGAAAGGGCGCGACGCGACGGGGGGGGGGGGGGGGGGGGGGAAAGGGCGCTATGCGACGAGGAGAAAGGGCGCTAAGCGACGGGGGAGAGGGCGCTAGGCTCGGTATTAGGCGCGGTAACAACGGAACCGGTACGAACGAGAGGTAGGATCAGGCTCGGGAGGGACGAACGGAGAACGGAGGAACGGGATCCCACAGGATCCTAACCTAGCTGATACCATGTCAAAATGAGGAATGATGATGCCATTGATGTTGGTTGGGGTACATATAACAAACCCTAACTTCTGTACCCCCTAAGACAAACCTCACTACAGGCTACAACATTTGACACCCTCCACTCCTCCCCCTCCACTTACCTGCCCCTCCACTCCTCCCTCTCCACTTACCTCCCCCTCCAGTCCTCTCTCTCCACTTGCGCGCCTCTCGAGTTCTTTCTTTCCACACACCCTCTTCTCAGATTCTCTCTCTCCTCCCACTTCCCCTGCAATCTCCTCCCCATCAGCCTCTTCCCCGTTTTCTTTTTAGCTGTTCTTAAATACCACTCCAATCCCTACTTTTCCCTCCGTTCGCCCTCCCCCCCGCCCCCTCTCCCCCTTCCCCCCTGCGCCTCTCTCTCCTTCTTCTACTCTTCCCCCCCCGCCCACCTGCACCCCTACAGCAGCCTGGGCATGAACCCAGGACTCCAGGCCTCCTTTGCTTCGCAGCCGTGTGTCTTTCCGACCACTATCCCCCTCTCTCCTCCTCGTCTCCCCCTCTCTCCTCCCCGTCTCCCCCTCTCTCGCCCTTGTCCCCCCTCATAATTGTCCCCTTCATCCCCCACCCTCCCTCCCTTCCCCCCCCTTCCCTCCCTCCCGTACCCACCAATTCCCCCCCAACCCCTAACCCTCCCCCCCGACAGCAGCCTGGGCAAGAACCCAGGCCTTCAGGGCTCCTATGCGCAGCAGCCGTTCATAATTGTCTCTCTTCCTCCCCGCCCTCCTTCCCCCTCCCCCGTCCCCTCACCAGCAACCTGGGCAAGAACCCAGGCCTGCAGGGCTCCATACCAACGAACCTTGGGAACCTTGTGCAACTGACTCTCACTCCTACTTTCCTCTTACTCTCCCCCCACCTCTCCCCACCCCCTTCCAGCAATCTCGGCAAGAACCCAGGCCTGCAGGGCTCCATACCAACAAACCTTGGGAACCTCGTGCAACTGACCATGCTGTAAGTGTAACTGTAGCCTTTTAACCTTTGTAGCGAACACAGGCGCAGCAGCAGCAGACGCAACAAACTGTATGCCCAAAATCGACTACCAAAAGGCATGAAAACAGAAAGAAGGTCTCAACCAATGGTTTAAGAGCAATCATTCAACCAATGGTTTAAGAGCAATCATTCAACCAATCCTCCTCCTCCAGATGAATCAATGCAAAACGTGGGGGTGCTGCTCTGCTGGGTTCTCTTCTCGCTGCCGGCACCCGTTTGACCCACTCTGGAAGGAAGGACCACGCTGGTTGGTTGGTTGGTTGTTACCTTTGTCACCTCACCACAACACACATATTTTTTCTGGTTCGCAGAACTAGCTCTCAGGCGCCCCCTGTGTCCCCCCTTCCCCTCCCTCCCCGCCCTCAGCAACATGCAGGGATCAAATCTCTCAGGCCCCGTTTCCACCTCCATACGCAACCTGACCCAACTCGTCTACTTCCTGGTGTTTCCGAACCGGCTCTCATTCACCCCCTGTGTGCCCTCCCCCCTCCCCCCTTGTCTCCCGCAGCAACCTGCAGGGCTGCAATCTCTCAGGCCCCGTTCCCACCTCCATAGGCAATCTGACCCAACTCGTCTACTTCCTGGTGGCTCAGAACCAGCTTTCCGGACCTCTGCCGGACCAGTTTGGGCTGCTGCCGAAGCTGTTTCAGATCGACATTATAGACAATCACTTCAGTGGCACCCTGCCCACGTTTGCTGGGGCATCTAGTTTAGTGCACCTGTGAGTATTGATCTCTCGACCTTTCAGTTGATTTGAGTGTTACATCATAGCCGACTAACCCATTTGAGTTGTTGCTGGGGTGAAAGGTTGCGTATACCGATTCTTCTGTCTCTTTGTTTCCCCTCTCTCGCCTTTCTTCTTTCTCGATTTCAATGACGCTTCCTTTTTACGCATCCCATTATCCGTCCGCTTACCCCTCCACTTCCCCATACCCATCCCAGTGTGCTTTTCCTTCTTCCTTCCTCCTCGCAACCCCTCCTTCCTTCCCCTCCATCCTCTCTCTCTCCCCCTCACCCCATCAGCCACATCTCACATGAGTTACGATCACCGCTCCTCCAATTCTTTTGAAATCAAGTTCTGAAACTTCCCTCAAACCCCGTCTTCCCCCCCTTCCCCTCTTCTGGCCCTCTCACCCCTCCCCTCTCAGCCACATGAGTCGCAATCACCTCTCATCCATCCCTGGTGAAATTGCACAATTGCCAAGCCTACAGCATTTGTGAGTTCCCTTGCCAAGCCTACAGCATTTGTGAGTTCCTTTGCCAAGCCTACAGCATTTGTGAGTTTTCTTGCCAAGCCTACAGCATTTGTGAGTTCCCTTGCCAAACCTACAGCATTTGTCAGTTCCTCTGCCGCCTATAGCACTCACAGGTTTTCAAGTTGTTGTTGTTGCTGGTTTTTTCTTTTATTTTTCTTCCTTCCTTCCTTTCTTTCGTATTTCTTTTTGCTGAGCATGCATGCAGCATCTGTTTCGTTTTCGAGCCAACTATAAAAGCTTGCCCAGTTTACAATCGTCACAGTCTTCTTTCCTCGTCACAGTCTTCTTTCCTCTTCACAGTCTTCTTTCCTCTTCACAGTCTTCTTCCCTCTTCACAGTCTTCTTTCCTCTTCACAGTCTTCTTTCCTCTTCACAGTCTTCTTTCCTCTTCACAGTCTTCTTTCCTCTTCACAGTCTTCTTTCCTCTTCACAGTCTTCTTTCCTCTTCACAGTCTTCTTTCCTCGTCACAGTCTTCTTTCCTCTTCACAGTCTTCTTTCCTCTTCACAGTCTTCTTTCCTCTTCACAGTCTTCTTTCCTCTTCACAGTCTTCTTTCCTCTTCACAGTCTTCTTTCCTCGTCACAGTCTTCTTTCCTCTTCACAGTCTTCTTTCCTCTTCACAGTCTTCTTTCCTCTTCACAGTCTTCTTTCCTCTTCACAGTCTTCTTTCCTCTTCACAGTCTTCTTTCCTCTTCACAGTCTTCTTTCCTCGTCACAGTCTTCTTTCCTCTTCACAGTCTTCTTTCTTCTTCACAGTCTTCTTTCCTCTTCACAGTCTTCTTTCCTCTTCACAGTCTTCTTTCCTCTTCACAATCTCCATCTTCACAACCCCTCCACCCGTTCGTTCTCTTCTTTTTGCCACCAGCCACACTGAATGAACTGTGCCTTTCCTTTCGCATATTTTTTCCCACCAACTGCACTGTGTGCACCGCCCTGCTTTCCTCCCCTCTGCCAGAATCGTGGACGGCAATCGAATCGTTCAGCCATTTCCCCTCGAATCACATGTCACCATTCCACGCATCTCAGTTACCACCACCTGCTGTGTGCGCCTCTGTGTGTCAATCCACGCATCTCCATGTGCCTCTGTGTGTTTCCCCCCGCTGCCAGAATCGTGGACGGTAATCGAATTGTTCAGCCGTTTCCCCTCTCCCTCAACGGATCGGCCCTCAGTGTTATGTGCGTGCCTGAGTGTGCGTGTCTGAGTGTGCGTGTCTGAGTGTGCGTGTCTGAGTGTGCGTGTCTGAGTGTGCGTGCCTGAGTGTGCGTGCCTGAGTGTGCGTGCCTGAGTGTGCGTGTCTGAGTGTGCGTGCCTGCATGCAACTGTCATGTCATGAGCTTTGTGCGTGCCCCACAGCCCAGCCCTTCTCTTCTCGTCCTCTGTGGTGCATTCGTCTTTTGAGGCACCTCAAAAACCAGCCCGCCTCATTCGTTGTCAACCGGAAACACCTTATTTATCAATAACAACCAATCGCACGGTGTGATGTGCTGTGCTGTGCACTCTAATGCCCAGCCTTTTTTTTGTCCTGCCATCTCTCGGTGCTCTCACAGAGCTGGCTGGCTTCTTGCTCTGTTAGTAACAGACACACTCTTTTCCGCTGTTGAAATACCTCACCTACCTTGTTGCACTTTGGTTCACCTCACCCTACTCATATTGTGTCGCCCCACCCCACGGCTCATGGCACAGTCGAGTTTTGAGACAGTAACAGCAGCAGCATATTGCAACAGCAGCATGCATTCTCTGCGCTTATACAATCACTCATTTACCTTCTTATTTCTGAGGCGCTCAAAGACATTCACCCTGTTGCCCTGTCTTTCTCCCACTCATTCGCGTTGCCGCACGGCTCACGGCACAGTTATTGGAGTGGCAACACCATCACCGAGCCTATGCCCTTGGTTTGGAATCTTCCAAATCTGAAGGACTTGTGAGTCCCCCCACACCTCCTTTCCACACCTCCTTTCCACTTTCCCGCCCACACCTCCTTTTGGAAACGTTTGCCCATATTCCAACTTTAACTTAACGGATGCTCAAGGTCTTATTTGAGAATTCTCAAAAGTGACGGATGCTCAAGGTCTCACGCAAGTCCTTGCTTTTACACAAACGGAGATAAAAAAGACTCTGGTTTTTGTGTAGAGCGTTTGTTCAGAAGTCAACATTCCTTGTAAGCTACGGGTCCAACACTCTCCTCAACCCCATGCCCGTGCACTCGTCATACCCATACATCCACCATGCACTCACCCCGTGCATCCACCATGCACTCACCCCATGCATCCACTATGCATTTATTTTCATCCCTCCATTCCCCATCCACCATGCACACATCATACCCCATGCATCCACCATGCATCCACCATGTATCCACATGCATCCACCATGCGTCCTCCATGCATCCACCATGCATCCACCATGCATCCACATGCATCCACCATGCATCCACCATGCATCCACCATGCATCCACCATGCGTCCTCCATGCATCCACCATGCATCCACCATGCATCCACCATGCATCCACCATGCATCCACCATGCATCCACCATGCATCCACCATGCATCCCCCGTGCATCCACCATGCATCCACCATGCATCCCCCGTGCATCCACCATGCATCCACCATGCATCCACCATGCATCCACCATGCATCCACCATGCATCCACCATGCATCCACCATGCATCCACCCCACCATGCATCCACCACCCATCTACCATGCATGCAGCCTCGCCAGCAACTGCAGCATTCCACAACAGACGCTGATCTCCTTCCCCCAGTCTAAGTCCCTCGCCAATCTGTGAGTCCCTCTGCCAGCCTATCTGTGACTTCCCTGCTTACCGCGCTTCTGCCCTTACTCCCTTTGCCACCCTTACTGCCCGCCCTACCCAAAGTCAAACCCGAAAGAAACCCCAAGGCGCCCTTGCTGCTGCACAGAACTACCATCCCTTTTCCTGCGACGACTTTTGAGGCGCCTCAAAAGTTCTGCCCGTCCCACCGAAAGTCAAACCTCAATCCCCAAGGCGCCCTTGCTGCTGCTGCTGCTGCTGCTGCTGCTGCTGCTGCTGCTGCTGCTGCTGCTGCTGCACAGAACTACGATTTTTTTTCCTGCCATTTCCTCTGCAACCCGAGGTGACTTTTGAGTCGACTCAAGAAATCCCTTCCCCTGCTGCCGTTTGCTCTGCTACACCAGAACAAGGGTTCCCACTTCTTTCCCCCTTTCTTCTCCCAACCCCAGCCTCCCTTTTCCCTGTCCGTTCTCTCGTTCCTCCCAACCTTATCCTCTTCCTCCTTCACTTCCCATTCTTCTCATTTTCCCTCCCTTCCTCCATACTTTGTCCCCACCGTTTTTCCGTGCTCTCTTGCATTCATTCTTCCTTCTCCCAGCCATTCTCTCTCCACCCCCTCTTGTTCCTTCCTCCCTTCAATTCACCCTTCCTCCAACCCCCCCTCCCCCCCCCCTTATCCCCCTCACCACCTTTGTCCTCACCAAAAACTGGAAAGAAGAACAAACAACCATAACCCATGATCTACCCCCTTTGTTCCTCTCTCCCCCACTGCTCCTTCCAGGGATCTGAGTCAGAACAATTTCTGGGGTTATATTTCCGCCTCTCACTTCACTGACAGCCCCAACCTCGTCAACCTGTGAGTGCGACTTTTGAGTGTGCGACTTTTGAGTGTGCGACTTTTGAGTGTGCGACTTTTGAGTGAGCGACTTTTGAGTGTGCGACTTTTGAGTGTGCGACTTTTGAGTGTGCGACTTTTGAGTGTGCGACTTTTGAGTGTGCGACTTTTGAGTATGCGACTTTTGAGTCGACTCAAAAGTCACCTGGGGTTGTATTTCCGCCTCTCACTTCACTGACAGCTCCACTTGAGGCAGCGGGCTGCAGCACATGGGGACCGCAGCACATGGGGACCGCAGCACATGGGGACCGCAGCACATGGGGACCGCAGCACATGGGGACCGCAGCACATGGGGGATTCGTGCTATAGGTTTCCAGCACATAGGGGGCAGCCATAGGTTTCCACAGCAAGGGGGATGAGGGACTCATGCTCTGTGCGGTTCCAATTTCTCCCTCTCCCACACCCCCTCCCTCCATCCCCTTTTTCCTCTCCCTCGCCCCCTCCCTTCCCCCTCAACTCTCCCTTCCCAGCAACCTTGCCAACAACGCACTGCAGGATTCCGTCCCTCCTGAGATCAACCAGGCAGCCAACCTGCAATCCCTGTGAGCCAACCTGCAATCCCTGTGAGCCAACCTGCAATCCCTGTGAGCCAACCTGCAATCCCTGTGAGCCAACCTGCAATCCCTGTGAGCCAACCTGCAATCCCTGTGAGCCAACCTGCCAATCCCTGTGAGCCAACCTGCAATCCCTGTGAGCCAACCTGCAATCCCTGTGAGCCAACCTGTTATTTCTGTGAGCCAACCTGCAATCCCTGTGAGCCAACCTGCAATCCCTGTGAGCCAACCTGCAATCCCTGTGAGCCAACCTGCAATCCCTGTGAGCCAACCTGCAATCCCTGTGAGCCACGCTCTCAAAGTCACCACGCTCTCTCGAGTACGCCCTCCCTCCCTGCCTCCCTACTTTTTAATCCGAAACTGTTGTCTCTGATGACTGTACAATCCGAAACTGTTGTCTCTGATGGCTGTACAATCCGACACTGTTTGTGTTCCCTCCTCTCCCCCCTCCTTCCTGCCTCCCCACCCACCCCCACAGATTCCTCTCGGGCAATCACCTCACAGGCAGGCTACCAGACCTCGCAGGCTTGAGTGGAGCCGTGTCGCTCTCCTTTACAAGGCCTCCTCCGCTCCTCATTCTTGTTCCTCTGTGCCCTCACCCCTCTCTACCCCCCCAGCTTCCTCTCAGGCAATCGCCTCACAGGCAGGCTACCAGACCTGTCAGGCCTCAGCAAGGCCGTGTCTCTCTCCTTCTACAACAACCTCCTCACAGTCTCCTACTCCTTGCTCTCTGCACCTTCCTCTCCCCCCCTTTCAGCTTCCTCTCAGGCAATCGCCTCACGGGCAGGCTGCCAGACCTGTCAGGCCTCAGCAAGGCAGTGTCTCTCTCCTTTTACGACAACCTCCTCACTGGCCCTCTCCCCCGCCTCAACCGCTCCGACATCACGCTGCAGTGAGTGGCTCTCCCCTCACTTACTGACATCACGCTGCAGTGAGTAACGTCTAATGACTCCGCTCCGCCTCCCCTCGCTCAAGAGTCGCGGTGAGTCGACTCAATGACAACCTCCTAATTGGCCCTTTACCCACCCTCAAGCATGCTGATATCACACTGCTGCTGTGAGTGCCCTCCCATGATGACGTCACCCTGCACATGCCTCCTTTGCCGATATCACTCTACGGGCACTCCAATCCAACTGCTCTGACTTTTGAGGCGCCTCAAAAGTCGTCTCTCTACCCGCAATTTTTTATATCGATCGATATCACTCTACGGGCACTCCAATCCAACTGTTCTGACGCACGCCGGTTTTGCCTCTCTTTACCCCTTCCGCCACCCCTCCCCTCCCACACCACCTCTTCCCCCTCCTCTCCCTCCAGGCTATACGGCAACCCTCTCTGCTCGCCTTACACTCCTGAAAAGCAAGCCGCCTGCTCCCCACCAGCCGACCCCACCCAGTACACTGCACCCTCCTTCTGCCAGGGCCACCTCTACAGCCCCTGTTCTGCCTAAACCCGCTCTGAACTTCTGAAGCACACTCCTTCTCCCTCTCCTCACCATCCCCTCCCCTCCGTCCCCACCCCCCCTCCCCCCAGGCTATACGGCAACCCGCTCTGCTCGCCCTACACTCCCGACAAGCAAGCCCCCTGCTCCCCACCAGCCGACCTCACGCAGTACACTGCACCCTCCTTCTGCCAGGGCTTCGCCTGTGAGGGCGACCTCTACAGCCCCAGCATGCCGCTCTTTCAGCAGTCCAGCCTCTGCATCTGCGTGTCGCCACTGCGCGCTGACGTGGCGCTCTACCTGTCGTCCTACGTGGTGTTTAATCAAGCGCTTGTGGACCGGCTCGAGGAGATTCTGTTTCAGGAGCTGGTCGGCGGCAAGTTTGGGCTCAATATCACCAAGTCGCAGGTGAGGTTCTGGACGTGAGTTCTGAATGACACCAGATTGCTGGATGGACTTTAAATCAAGCGCTTGTGGACCGGCTCGAGGAGATTCTGTTTCAGGAGCTCGTTGGTGGTAAATTTGGGCTCAATATCACAAAATCGCATGTGAGGTTCTGGGTCTTACCAGACTGCGGCTTCTCAATGGCGTCTCTCCTGCCTTGCAGTAAGCTTGGGTCTTATTGTGAGTCGTCGTGCGCTTGTGGATCCGCTTGAGGAGAGTCTGTTTCAGGAGCTGGTCGGCAGAAAGCTTGGGCTCAAATTCACAAGACAGCAGCTGAGCATCTTCTGGATGTCAGCATATCGCAGATCAGCTACTGAATGCCGTCGTCTCCTCCCTTTCGGTTGGGTGATGTGAATCGTTATTGCGCACCGCAACCGCACACCATGCACAAGTGTTTTTCTGATGTTCACTTGCCCTTTTCTGTTATCAGCTCTTTCGTCCTTTCTTTGTTCCTCCTTCCCAAATTTTTGCCACCTCCCTAAGCCCCCTGGCCTTCCCCTGTTTCCCCTCTCCTCCCTGTTCCACCCTTGCCCCTTCCCCTCCCTTTCCCCTCCCCCTCCCCGTCCCCTCCCCACCTCCAGGTGCTAATCTCAGCAATCAAGTCCCCTTCATCTCTCCCCTCCCTCGCCTCCACCTTTGCATCGGACCACACCACACACGAGTCCACCACCACCGTCTCAATCCTCTTCTTCCCTCCGGTCGGGGACGACAGCTGGTACCCGCGCGACCTCCCAAAGGGCATCAAGCAGGCGCTCTCGCTGCGTAACACCGACCCCACGCAGCAGATGAACCTCAGCGAGTTTGGCTCCATTCTCTCTGTGCTCTTCCACGGCCCTGCGCGTGAGTGTCCTGGGGGTTTGCATCTCTTCTGTAGGGTTGGAGGTCTGGGGTTGTACTAAAGGGCATCAAGCAAGCGCTCTCGCTGCGTAACACCGACCCCACGCACCAGATGAATCTGAGTGAATTCGGGTCGATTCTCTCCGTGCACTTCCACGGCCCCGCGCGTGAGTTGCCTTGGGGGGGGGGTCGCATTTGTTGTTCTATGGGGTCAGGGGTTGTCCCTAGGGGCATCAAGCAGGCGCTGTCGCTGTGCAACACCGACCCCACTGCCATCTCCTTTTTCACTCCTGTCTCATCTCTTCCATTTTTCCGTTGACTCGCGATTCCTTCCAATGGAAATGTCGCAGCCTACAACCCCATCGCAGCCTACAACCCCATCGCAGCCTGCAACCCCATCGCAGCCTGCAACCCCATCGCAGCAGGCCATAAATGCGGCCGAGCACAGGCACCATTGTCGCCATCGTCGCCCTCTCAGTCGCCTCTTTCCTCTCTTCTGTCTCACCCTTGATCTGTGTTTCCTTTTCCCTTCCCTCCTCTCCTTCCAGTTGCAACCTACAATCCCCATCACAACCATCGCAGCAGGCCTCGTCTGGGCTGAGCACTGGCACCGACGCGGGCGTCTCCTCCTTGTCTACCTCTCTTCCTCTCCTTGTATCCCTCTCTTCCTCTCCTTGTAACCCTCTCTTTCCTTCCACTCCTCTTTGCATCCCTCCCTTCTTTTCCGTGCGCGCTCTTCCCAACCCAACCAACCACACACAGCCTACAATCCTCCAGCGCAGCAATCGTCGTCTGGGCTGAGCACTGGTGCCATCGTGGCCATCTCTGTGTGCTCCGCTGCCGTTGCCATTGCCCTCATTGTGGCTCTGCTCATGCGCCCCTGGGCGAGACGAGGTGAGGGGGAGGAGCAAGATGAGTGGGAGAAGCGAGGTGAGCGGTTGATTCAACACTGCTGCCGAGTGGTTCTTGAGTCAAGACTCAAAGGCCACTGCTGTTGCCATCGCCCTCATTGTGGCTCTGCTCATGCGCCCCTGGGCGCGGCGAGGTGTGCAGGAGAAACGAGGTGGGAGGGAGGAGCGAGGTGTGCAGGAGAAATGAGGTGGGTGGTTTTGGGTCGTCTCTCAATAGGTGCTCCTGTTGACATCGCCCTCATTGTGGCTCTGCTCATGCGCCCCTGGGAGAGGCGAGGTGAGGGGGAGAAAGGGGAATGAGAGGGAAAAGAGAGATAGGTGATTGGGAGAAGAGAGGTGAGAGAAAGGAGGTAAGGGCGAAGAGAAAGGTGAGAGGAGGAGAGAGAAAGTGTTAGTGAAGGGTGGGGACGATGTAGAGGCTCATAGTTGTGTCAAGGGTTTGCAGCGAGGGAATGTGGAAGCAATTGGTGAATCTAGTTTCCTAAAACTATGCGGACTACAAAGCTCTGGAGGGCACCACCCTGCTGCACGCTCGTTAGCGTCTCCCCCCATTCTTCCCTCCCACCCCTCCTTCATCCCTCGCCCCTGTTCATCGCCCACCCCTCCTTCACCCCTCTCCCCCATTCATTGCCCTCCTTAATCCCTCGCCCCAACCACCCTGGGTGGAGCAATGCGGACTAGGAGGCACTGGAGGGCATTACCCTACAGCACGCCCCTTGACCTTTCCCCTTGCTTTGCCACCCGTTCATTCCCCCCCGTCCCTCCCCGCTCTCCCCTCCCAGGGTGGAGCAATACGGACTACGAGGCACTGGAGGGCATCACCCTACAACACGCTCGTTGACCTTCCCCCCTCCATCCCTCCAGAAGCTCTCGAGCCTTCATTCCTCCTTCGTCCCTCTTCCCCAATCCTCCCTGCCCTCCCCCCCCCCAGGGTGGAGCAATGCGGATTACGAGGCACTGGAGGGCATCAACCTGCAGCATGCGCGGCGCTACTCCCTGTGGCAACTAGCAGAGGCGACTCATGGCTTTGATGACTCGGCGGTTCTGGGAGAGGGAGGATTCGGAACGGTAGGTGTGAGAGGGAAAAGTTGTGGTTTTTATTTTAGAGAAATTTGATCGGGAAAATCTGGTGCTGTTTTTTTTTTCTTTATCGGGGTCAAAAGGCGTGTCCACAATTTTTTTCTCCCCATTCCTCTCCCAGGTGTATCGGGGAGTGCTGAACGGTGAGCCGGTGGCGATCAAGAAGGCGAATGAGAAGCGGCGGCACGACGGGGTGGATTTCAAGAACGAGATCGAGATGCTGACGAGGAATTTGATCGGAAAAATCTGGTGCTGTTTTTTTTTTCTTTATCGGGGTCAAAAAGCGTGTCCACAATTTTTTTCTCCCCATTCCTCTCCCAGGTGTATCGGGGAGTGCTGAACGGTGAGCCGGTGGCGATCAAGAAGGCGAATGAGAAGCGGCGGCACGACGGGGTGGATTTCAAGAACGAGATCGAGATGCTGACAGCGGTGTCGCACGGCAACCTCGTGAAGCTCACCGGCTTCTGTGTGGAGAAGGACGAGCAGCTGCTCGTGTTCGAATTCATGGAGGGGGGGGCGCTGGACGCCTGGATCAAAGGTGGGTTGACAGTGGATTGAGTGCGGTTGGGTGCGGTTGAATGCGTGGAGCAAGGGTGTGCTTCTTTGTGGAGAGGGACGAGCAGCTGCTGGTGTTCGAGTTCATGGAGGGGGGCGCGCTGGACGCCTGGATCAAAGGTGGGTTCACGTTGGCTGTAGTACGTTTGTGTGCGGTTGGGAGCGATTGGTTGCGGATGTGTGTGGATAAAGGGTGTGCTTCTGTGTGGAGAGGGACGAGCAGCTGCTGGTGTTTGAGTTCATGGAGGGGGGTGCTCTCAACGCCTGGAGCAAAGGTTTGACTTCACTTAGGGATCAAACATTCTGTCTTGACCCTCCTTGAGTTTGAGTTCACATTCTGTCTTGACCCTCCTTGAGTTTGAGTTCACATTCTGTCTTGACCCTCCTTGAGTTTGAGTTCACATTCTGTCTTGACCCTCCTTGAGTTTGAGTTCACATTCTGTCTTGACCCTCCTTGAGTTTGAGTTCACATTCTGTCTTGACCCTCCTTGAGTTTGAGTTCACATTCTGTCTTGACCCTCCTTGAGTTTGAGTTCACATTCTGTCTTGACCCTCCTTGAGTTTGAGTTCACATTCTGTCTTGACCCTCCTTGAGTTTGAGTTCACATTCTGTCTTGACCCTCCTTGAGTTTGAGTTCACATTCTGTCTTGACCCTCCTTGAGTTTGAGTTCACATTCTGTCTTGACCCTCCTTGAGTTTGAGTTCACATTCTGTCTTGACCCTCCTTGAGTTTGAGTTCACATTCTGTCTTGACCCTCCTTGAAAACAATTTTCTGTTCCGTCTTCTTGGGAAGGGGAAGAAGGAGGTGGGAGGCAGCTTTTAATTCACGAAGGGGGGTGCACGGGATGCCTCAATCAAAGCTGTGTATCCGATCGTATGTGTAGTTTGTGCTTGGCATTGGTGGGTTACCAAGTGCATGCGTTCTGGTATTCTGCCTGTTACCCGTAACAAAACTCGTGTGCTCATCGTTTTGCCACGGATATTATTTTACTGTTTTTTTCATTACACTCAAAACCCCTCATTGACTTCCGATCGTGTGTTGTGCCACCTACTTGCTTTACTTACGTGAACAGGAAAGACGGGGCGCGTTTTATCATGGAAGGAGAGGATGCGGATTGCTCTTGATGCCGCTAGTGCGCTGCACTACTTGCACAAGGAGATGAGGCCCGGCATCATCCACCGCGATATCAAGGTGTGCTGCCATACAGTATTCTCTGTTATCTACATGTCTTCAATAATAACCGTCTGCGTGTTGGAGTTTTGGCGATGTCAGGAAGCCGTGTGTAACCAACCACTTGTAACCATTTTTTTGCAATGTGTCAAAGCTTATTTGCTTGTTTTCATCATCAAGGTTTGCAGCCATTGCTGTACAGCGTGCATGTACCTCCATTCCTTTCTTCTGTTATCGTATTTCCACCGTTCCCTGTACGATAATTTCTTTCTTTTGTCTTTTTTCTCCCCCTCTCTCTCCCTCCTTCCCAGCCGGCCAACATTCTGCTGACAGCATCGCTGGAAGCCAAGGTGGCGGACTTTGGCATTTCCAAGTCGCTGCCAGAAAAGGGAGAGCTGGTGCAGGAGGAAATCATCGGCAGCAAGGTGAGATGATTGCACACATGCTCAATGAACTGTGGGGTTTCGGTTTTTTTTTTTTTTTTTTTTTTTTTTTTTCTAATAACTTTTTTTTTTCCCCAAACAGACCCTCCTCCATTTCGTGAGTCTAACTGTGGCCTTTTTTCTTTTTCTTTTTCTTCTTCTTCTTCTTCTTCTTCTTCTTCTTCTTCTTCTTCTTCTTCTTCTTCTTCTTCTTCTTCTTCTTCTTCTTCTTCTTCTTCTTCTTCTTCTTCTTCTTCTTCTTCTTCTTCTTCTTCTTCTTCTTCTTCTTCTTCTTCTTCTTCTTCTTCTTCTTCTTCTTCTTCTTCTTCTTCTTCTTCTTCTTCTTCTTCTTCTTCTTCTTCTTCTTCTTCTTCTTCTTCTTCTTCTTCTTCTTCTTCTTCTTCTTCTTCTTCTTCTTCTTCTTCTTCTTCTTCTTCTTCTTCTTCTTCTTCTTCTTCTTCTTCTTCTTCTTCTTCTTCTTCTTCTTCTTCTTCTTCTTCTTCTTCTTCTTCTTCTTCTTCTTCTTCTTCTTCTTCTTCTTCTTCTTCTTCTTCTTCTTCTTCTTCTTCTTCTTCTTCTTCTTCTTCTTCTTCTTCTTCTTCTTCTTCTTCTTCTTCTTCTTCTTCTTCTTCTTCTTCTTCTTCTTCTTCTTCTTCTTCTTCTTCTTCTTCTTCTTCTTCTTCTTCTTCTTCTTCTTCTTCTTCTTCTTCTTCTTCTTCTTCTTCTTCTTCCCACCTTTGTCAGGGCTACATCGACCCACACTTTGCGGTGTCGGAGGTGCTGACGGAGCGCAGTGACGTGTTCAGCTTCGGGGTGGTGCTGCTGCAGCTGGCCACGGGGCAGCCGCCCGTCATTCAGGGAGTGCCGCTCAGCCAGGTCGTGCTGCACCTCGCCTTCGGCCCCCAAGGCCTCTCCGCTGCTGTCGACCCCAAACTCTCCCACTTCCTCCGCGCCCGGGGGGATCCCACTGCTGCTGCTGCTCCTGCTGCTGCCTCCGCTGCTGCTGCTCCAGCTGCTTCTGCCGCTGTTGCAAAAACTAGCTCTACTGGTGCTGCTGCCGCTGCCGGTGCTGCTGCTGCCGCTGCTGCGGGTGGGGAAATGAGTGCGGGGGAGATGGTGGAGGGGTTGGAAGAGACGTTCGGCACGTTCCTGCGGGTGGCGCTGTGGTGCACGGCAGAGCACCCCTCGCTTCGTCCCGACATGGAGCAGGTCGTATCTGCGCTGCGCAGCATCAGGGACCATCTCCGGGCGCTACCTGGGGGAGGCGCTGCTGCTGACAGCTCACTTCCCCACCATGCTGGCAGTGCAGCAGCAGCAGGTGCAGGTGCAGGTGCTGGTGCTGCTGGTAGTGTGGGGCCTGCAGGAGCTATCCCTAGTGGCGCCAATGGTTACAACGCACCTGCTGGTAACCAGCGAGCTTCAGCAGCAGCAGGGTTCAGCCCAGGGGGGAGATCTCCTGAGACTGGGCTCACAGGGGCACCGTCTAGTATGACCACTCTGTGGAACCCCATGGGGGATTCTTCGTCCGGTCAACCCGGGTCAAACTGGTCAAACCTGGGTGAGGAGCAGACGACGTTGATGGACGGGTATGGCGACACGGGCACACAGAACCAAACCTTGACAGGGCCGCGTGCCCGATAGGTGCGGCTTTTCTGGTCAACCAGGGCCAACCACTGTCAAACCGATAGATTATCTCGGAGCTCATTTGCTGATCCTTCATCTGCTGCGTAGTGTAGTTTGTACATTTGTTTGATGTGCAATGTTGAAATTCAGTTGAATATATTCTCAGAACTTTTAGTTGGAATTGCCATAGAATGGGTGGTGTAAGGAATTTTGCCTTACTCAGGCGCGTACAATTCCAACTTTCGGAAATCAGGCTCAGTCCGACGACCTCGCCTTCTGAACGTCTCTCGCGTCGCCTTCGGGTTTTCCAAACCCAAACCTGTACCTGACCTTGCGCGGTCCCGCAACCTTGGCCTAGCTAGCTTTCGCTATATCTGTCCTAGGCTTCATGATTTGGTCAGTAGTTGTAATCACTTCCGCGATATTGCATTATGCGCACTCGTCTTGAGTACAACTCATAACAGGTGGAAAAAAATGTTCCAGAGTGTTGTTTTTAGTTACACAATGAATTACCACCTACCGTACCGTAATACCCCGGATATAAGCGCATCTGCGCTTATAATAAAACAATGTTTTTTAGGGGGGTGCGCTTATAAATGAGTCAAAATTATAAGCGCATGCACTTATATAATGACAAACACAGAAATATGTTATAAACGCACCAAACTGTGCATCTTAGTCTTCAAAATTTCATTCAAATCGAAATGTGTGGAGCGTTGTGAATCAAAATCGCGCGAGGGCGATTCTCTGCCGGCGCACAAGGGCAAGGACACATCAATTTCGCTTAGGAATGTGTCATGCTTGCCCCAGCCCACTGTACGAACCAATAGTTTGCAGTCGCTCGTTCGCATCGCACAGGCTTGCCCCAGTGTACGATCAATGGCCTGCAGTCGCTCGCTCGCAGCGCACAGACAGCAGTTGTTTCCAAGCCCCCTGTCAAGTCAACTTCGCGCCGTTGCGCTTTTCCTAAGCGAGCCCGCCCTCGAGGGAGTCGAACAGAGTAGAAGTGGATGTGGACTCGCTGCAAAACGGGAAGTCGTTACTGTTTTAATCCGGTTTTTTTATAATATGTTTATACATGCGCTTATAATAAATCAGGGTTTTATAAGGGGTGTGCTTATAATTGAGGATCGGCCATAAGCGCATTGTGTCAGAACATATAGCTTACTTGTTTCTGTAGGCTATAGTGGGGTATCCCATAGGGGGTACAACCCAATTAGGGTTTCCTATTTGTACCCACTTCATTTCATAGTCATTCACTCCCGTTCATTCAGTTTCACATGGTATAGAGCGGGTCCCTTCTAAGGACCGTTTTTTTTTTGGCCCACCCACGATCTTTCTTTTTCCTGCCCGGAGCGCGCCCTATTCTCCTCGAGGCGCGCTCCCCCTAGTGCGCGTCGAGCTGCCCTTCTGGCGCCCCGAGAGTCGCGCGCGCGACTCAATTTTTTTTTCGCGCGCGCGGCCCGGGCCCCACTTCGCGCGGCCCTTACAGCCGCGCCGCGCCGCCCTCTCGGCTCTGCCGCGCCGCGCCGCCCTCAAGACGGCCGCGCGGCCTCTTCGTCGCTACGGCAGGCCCCCCCCCCCCCCCCCCCCCCCCGCTGCACCTCTGTCGGCCCCGCCGCCGCCTTACCTGACGGCCGCCGCCTCACCTGACGGCCCGCCGCCTCGCCCTCTGGCCCGCCACCTCACCAGACGGCCCTGCCGCCTCACCTGACGGCCCACCGTCTCACCTGCTGGCCCGCCACCTTACCTGACGGCCCCGCCGCCTCACCTGACGGCCCGCCGCCACCTTACCTGACGGCCCCGCCGCCTAACCTGACGGCCCGCCGCCTCACCTACTGGCCCGCCACCTGACCTGACGGCCCCGCCGCCTCACCTGACGGCCCGCCGCCTGACCTGCTGGCCCGCCGCCTCGCTGACGGCCCGCCGCCTCCCCCGCTGGCCCGCCACCTGATCTGACGGCCCCGCCGCCTCACCTGACGGCTCGCCGCCTCACCTGCTGGCCCGCCACCTGACCTGACGGCCCCGCCGCCTCACCTACCGGCTCGCCACCTCACCTGCTGGCCCGCTGCACCCTGACGGCCCCGCCGTCCCTTGTCCCGGCCCCGCCACTACACTGCAGCCGAGCCGCCCAGCAGCAGCCGAGCCGCTCAGCAGCAGCCGAGCCGCCCAACAGCAGCCGAGCCGCCCAGCAGCAGCCGAGCCGCCCAGCAGCAGCCGAGCCGCCCGGTACCCGAGCCGCCCGAGCCGCCCGAGCCGCCCGAGCCGCCCGAGCCGCCCGAGCCGCCCCACCAGCCCGAGCCGCCTGCTGCTGTCCTACCCGACTCTCCTAGCCCGGTGAGACTTTCAGCTGCTGCCATGGCCACCCCCAATGTTCTTACTTTTGACGCTGAGGGGAGGGCCATTGACTTTGCCGTCTGGATTGAAGACCTGCAGCTGTACTTACTGTGTGATGCGATAGATGAGGTCTCTCTCTTTGACTTTGTCTCTGGCGCTGTCCCTGCCCCGCCTGCTGATGCTGACTCTGCTGCTCGCTCCAAGTGGGCGACCCGCGATGCTGCTGCACGTCTTGCTGTGCGTCGCCACCTCCCTTCCTCTGAGCGTGCCCACTTTAGTCAGTGCAAGACCGCTCAGGCCTTGTACGACGCTGTAGTTGCACGCTACTCCTCCCCTTCCTCCGCTACCCTTAGTCGCCTCATGCTACCGTTTCTCTTCCCTGACCTCGCTTCCTTTCCCACTGTTGCTGACCTAGTTACCCACCTCCGCGCTAGTGACACCCGCTACCGTGCTGCCCTTCCTGCTGAGTTCCGCGCTGCGAACCCTCCTCCCATGTACATCACTCTCTACTTTCTCGTCACCCGTCTCCCTGAGTCCCTTCGTGTCGTTAGGGACCAGTTTCTCTCTGTCTGTCCCACCACTCTCACTGTCGACCTCCTTGAGGAGTCCCTGCTAGCGGCTGAGAAGAGTATTGTCGCTGTAGGGGCCTCTCGGGGTGACCCTCGCACCCCCATCTTTGAGGGGTGTGGTCCTTCCCCCCTGCTGCCCTCTGTCGCCTCTGCCGCTGCGGCCGACCTCGCTGGTTTTGAGTCGGTCGGCGCGGCGTCTGCCCCCAGCGGCAGACGCCGCTCTGGCAAGGGCAAGGGGGGCAAGGGGGCGGGTGGAGCTAGAGGGGGCGGTGGAGGAGGCGGTGGGGGTGGAGGGGGGAGTGGGGGTGGCGGTGGGGGTGGTGGCGGGAGTGGAGGTACTAGTGGCGGCGGTGGAGGCGGAGGTGGCGGCAGAGGTGGTAGCGGAGGAGGCGGTGGGAGCGGTGGGAGCGGTGGAAGCGACGGTCCTGGTGGGGGAGGTGGCGGTGGAGACGGGGGTGGCGGTGGAGGCGGGGGTGGCGGTGGAGGCGGGGGTCGGAGTGGCTCGTCCCAGCGGAGCAGCTCTGGGGGTGGTCAGCGCCAGCAGCAGCAGCAGCAGCAGCAGCAGCAGCAGCAGCAGCCGCAGCAGCAGCAGCGCTCTCGCACCGTCCCCGGCCCTCAGCAGCTCCGTGAGTGGTACTTGCAGCGTCAGCGCGGTGGTGCGCTTGGTCCCTGCCCCTACGTTCTTCGCACCGGTGACCGTGCGGGGGAGAGGTGTGGAGGCGCCCACACAGCCCGTCGCTGCTTTGGCCGCCTGACCGACGCCTGGCGTCAGCAGTTTCCGGAGGCCGCTGAGATCCCCCGCTGGGGAGAGCTGTCTAGGGCTGGTGTAGCTATTTATGATCTTGATTTTGATGCTATTCTCTCTGCTATGTATGCTGTGACTGGTAGTGATGAGGATGACTGTTACCGGTGTTTCCCGCCCGACCCGGGCATTGGTACTGCCGCGTCAGGTACTAGTGAGGCTGCAGCTCTAGGTGCCAGTGCGTCTGTGCTCTCAGGTGCTGGTGAGTCCGCCCTCTCAGGTCCTGTGTCGGCTTCGGCCTCTCACACCTTCACCCTTGACTCTGGAGCGTCTCGCTCCTTCTTTAGGGACCGCACCACTCTCACGCCGCTGAGTCGGCCGGTTGTGGTGTCCCTGGCTGACCCCTCTGGGGGACCTGTCCTGTCTCGCTTCTCCACTGTCCTCCCGTGTCCAGCGGCCCCCTCTGGCACCCTGACTGGTCTCTACCTCCCCTCGTTCTCGACGAACTTGGTGAGTGGTGCTGACCTCCAGGATGCAGGTGTCCACCAGTTCACCCCTGCTCGTCAGCGGGTGACCCACTGTACCGAGGCGGATACAGGTCGTCACCTGGCTACGTTTACACGTCGGCCAGGGTCGAGCCTGTACACACTGACCACTGCTTCTCCTCCAGGTGCTGCGTCTGGTAGAGTCCCGTCGTCTGGTCAGGTGTTTGCTGCAGCGTCCAGGTCTGGTCCTGAGTCTGCCCCCTGTTCGTGTCGTCGTCTGTCTCACGAGACCCTCCTCTGGCACCACCGCCTTGGCCACCCCTCTCTGCTTCGGCTCAGAGGCATGGCCTCGCGGGTCCTTGTGTCTGGTCTTCCCCGGTCCCTCCCTCCCCTTCCTCCGGGCCCTGGCCCTGCCTGTGTCCCCTGTGTCGAGGGGCGCCAGCGTGCTGCCCCTCACTCCTCCCAGTTTCCTCCGACAGAGGCCCCGTTGCAGACGCTTCACATGGACGTGTGGGGCCCAGCCCGCGTCCGTGGACAGGGTCAGGAGCGCTACTTCCTGCTGGTGGTTGACGACTACTCGCGTTACACCACAGTCTTCCCCTTGCGCAGCAAGGGTGAGGTCACTGAGGTGTTGATCGACTGGATCCGCGCAGCTCGTCTTCAGCTTCGGAGGAGCTTTGGCTCTGACTTCCCTGTTTTGCGTCTGCACTCGGACAGAGGCGGCGAGTTCTCCTCTGGCCTCCTGAGTGCCTACT